CCCCACCATTGTCCATGTCCTTGGGTTGTGCATAGATGCATATAAATTCTTTACTCTCTCCCCCTCCACCCCCTCTCCCCCCTCCCTCTGACATTTCGTCAGTCTCAACTATGCTTCAAAAGCCAGATTCTTGTGGCCTTCTAGGTGATACCCCATCTGCCCAATCCCACCATTATCTGTCTCTCTCATCTCCTCCTACTCTCTACTTACTAGTCGTTTTGTTCGCTGATGTAAGCGAAGTACCAGAGAAAAGAGATTTTAATGCAAATGTAAATGTATTATTTTTAATACAGTGGGGATCATATCACATCATCCTATCATCTTATTACTAACCTGTTTTCCTCCATTTAACTTTGTGTCTTTTTCATTCTTGTATTATGTGATATTTAATAATGATATAATATTTCATCACATTTACTAAAATGCATTTAGCCAATTCCAAATGTTTCCAATTTACAAAAAAAATTGAGAATATAGTACAGAGAGTTCTCATATACCTCACAACCAGTTTCTTCTATTGTTAACATCTTATGTAGAATGGTACATTTGTTATAATTAACAAACCAATATTGATACATTATTATTAATTAAAGCCTATAGTTTATCAGGAATTTTTTTTTTTGCAGTAAAATTGTATTGTTTATTGCGGGTTGCATTGTAAACTGGTAATATTTGGGGGAATGAAACATAGTACATAGGAAAAGCCATAAAACTACCATACCTATGAATTTTTCGCAATAAACTTATTTAATAAAGGCTTTAAAAATTCCAAATGGATGACATATCCTCTACTCTTAGTTATAATAGAGCAAAAATAGAAATAGCAAAAATGTCCAACATTAGATGAATAGTTTAAAATTTTGTCACACATAAATACAATGGGATATTTTGTGTTCATAACAAAAGCTTAATTCTAGAGACATGTAGGAAAAAAACATGGAAAAGATTCACGATAAAATAGGCAATAGAAACAAAACAGCATACACACTGTGTTTATAATTTTAAATATAGTTGAGCCTTGAACAATGCAGGCATTAGGGGCACTCCCCCCTCCCACCAACAGTTCAAAATCCCCATATAACTTTTGACTCCCCAAAATTTAACTACGAATAGCCTGTTGTAGATAGAACNTAGGGGCACTCCCCCCTCCCACCAACAGTTCAAAATCCCCATATAACTTTCGACTCCCCAAAATTTAACTACGAATAGCCTGTTGTAGATAGAAGCCTTACCAATAACATAAACAGTCAATTAACACATATTTTGTATGTTTCATGTATTATATATTATATACTTACAATAAAGTAAGCTAGAGAAAAGCAAATGTTGCTAAGAAAATCATAAAGAAGAGAAAATATATTTGCAGTATTTATTGAGAAAATCCGTGCATAAGTGGACCCATGTTGTTCAAGGGTCAACTGTAAACTGTGTGGCCATGGAAGACAAAATGCCTACGTGCGACTGCTTTATGAAAGTATAGATTACAGATGGTTTTTAAGTCTTAAAAATTCATTTGCTGTTATATATTACCTTTTCTTTTTTATTTTTATAGGATTTATGACTTTCCAATTTTATTTCAAAATGTCTTCTTACAGTAACTATTCTTTTTATCTCTTCTAAAGTAGATATCTGTAGATGTGTAAATTTATGAAATCAATCAACTTATCTTAGTCTTTTTAAAAATTGAGGTATAATTTGCATATAACATTGTGTAAGTTAAAGGTGTACAATGGGTCGATTTGATACATTTGTATATTGCAATATGATTACCAGGGTTTCTTTAGTTATTGCCTAATGTCTTTTTTCTGTACCAGGATCCCATCCAGAATACCACATTACGTTTAGTTTCATGTCTGTGACAATTTTCCAGACTTTCCTTGTTTTTGACAATCTTGGCAGTTTTGAGGAGTACCAGTCAAGAATTTTGTAGGGCACCTCTCTATGGGAATTTTTCTTATGATTACACTGCAGTTACAGGTTTTGAGAAGGCAGAGTACCTTTCTCATTGCACCATAGTAAGGGTACATATCATCATAATTTATGACTTTTGCTGTTGGCCCTAATCACCTGGCTGAGGTAGCGTTTGTCAGGTTTCTTCCCTGTAGTTACCCCCCCCCCAACTGTACTTCTGGAAGAACGTCACTATGAGTAGTCCATACTTAAGGAGTGGGAGTTATGCTCCACTTCCTTGAGGGTGGGTTATCTACACAAATTATTTGGAATTCTTCATGGGAAATTTGTCTCTTTTCTCCATTTATTACTTTTATTGAACAATTTATTTGTATCAGTATGGACTTATAGATATTTATTTTATACTTTGGGTTATAATCCAATACTATAATACAAAGTGGTTTATTTATTTTGTTGCTCAAAATAAATTTTTCCACCTTTGTCCTTTGGGAGCTCATTCAGTTGGCTCCTATTCCCTTTGACATACCCCCGTAAGAGTGGGGTTTGTTTTTTGGAGCATGCATTTATCTTCATTTTTTTAGCCTTTTTATAGATAAAAGGGATTATCACATTTTAATTTATATTTCTTTACTTGTGGAACTGAATTTTCATAAATGTATTGGTCTTTCCAGTTCTTTTGTGATTTGCCTGCTTACCCACCTCTTTATTAAAATATTTTGCATATACTCTTCACCAATTCTTTTGTTTGCCTTATCATGTCTTTGAAATTTTGAACTTTAAAAACTTTATGATATTCAACATTTTTCAAAATGTTTTTTTTGCTCAGAGCATAGCTCTGTGAAATTCTTCTCACCCCCCCCCAAAAGTTTTTTGTTCAAATATGTTTAGAAAATGCTTTATTTTTAAAAATTCTCTTAGCCTTTCTTAGATAGTACTGGTATAGGTTAACATTTTAAAGATGTTGAGAGCACCTACAATGAAAGATCACGTTTTATTTTGTTCTTGGGTTCCCTGTGTCAATTTGACCATAGCAACTGTTTCAATGAGACGTCTAATAAGGTATCTCAGAATTGGGGCTCTCTAGAACATACCTGGACAGATGGGGCACCATGGACATCTCCAATCTTCCCTTACGGGTTCCAACGTAAGTATTATGTACACATGGAATTCTCTTATGTATCCTTCTAGTTCCTGGATTATTTTTTCATTTAACTCTTTAACCCATTGGGAATTTATATTGTATATTTTTACCTTTTCCAAGTTGCTAACAATTGTCCCAGCTCCATTTATTGGACTGTCTTCTTTTCCTTGCTTATTTGACATGCCACCATAATTACATATGAGGTCTTACTAATACTCGGATTTGTGACTGTTCTAGACTTTTTAAAATTGATTTCAGAGAGGGGAAGGGAGAGGGAGAGAGAGAGAAACATCAATGATGAGAGAGTCATTGATTGGCCGCCTCTTGCACGCCTCCAACGGGGGATCNGAGAAACATCAATGATGAGAGAGTCATTGATTGGCTGCCTCTTGCACGTCTCCAACGGGGGATCTAGCCCGCAACCCGGGCATGTGCCCTGACCGGCAATCGAACCGTGATCTCCTGGATCCTAGGCCGATGCTCAACCGCTGAGCCACGCCCAGCCGGGCAGAAGTAACTACTTTTAACAACATCATGTGTATTTTTCCAGACTCTGCTATGCACATACAAATTTATACATGTATAGTAAGGATACTTGAGTGTTTTTTTCTAAATGAGATCATAGAGTGCATATTGTTCTGTAACTTGTTTTTGGTCTCTTAAAATATTGGACATCTTTCCATATTAGTAGACCCATCTCATACTTTAGATGGCTGCGTGTTATTTCTCTGTATAGTGATTATTTAGCCAGTCCCTTATTAATGGATATTTGTGATCAGGTTTTGACTTTTTCTGTTATAACACAAGTACTAAAATAAATGATAAATGTTTAGTCTTATAGTATTTATATTAGAATATTAAAATTAACATTTAACCACTATCGAGCCATTATTTTTCAACATTGAAGTGACATAAAGAAATCAGACCTCCGCCCGGCCGGGTGTGGCTCAGCGGTTGAGCATCGATGTAAGATCCAGGAGATCGCGGTTCGATTCCCGGTCAGGGCACATGCCTGGCNCGCCCGGCCAGGTGTGGCTCAGCGGTTGAGCATCGATGTAAGATCCAGGAGATCGCGGTTCGATTCCCGGTCAGGGCACATGCCCGGCTTTCGGGCTCAATCCCCAGCAGGGGGTGTGCAGGAGGCAGCCAATCAATGACTCTCTCATCACTGATGTTTCTATCTCTCTCTCCCTCTCCCTTCCTCTCTCTGAAATCAATAAAGATATATTAAAAAAAAAGAAATCAGACTTCCAACTTTTTTTTTTTTTTACTAAAAAGCAGTGGAGCTCAAGGATCTTTCATATATGATTAACAAAGTTTATTGTTAGCCAAAATGGGCCCTTGGCTTTTGGATGAGCAGTATTTTTATTCTTCAGCAATTTTGCATATTTTACAAATATTTGCATATTGCATATTTCTACAAAGTGTAGAAAACGCAAGATTAATCATTGTTTGCATATACCACACTTTGTAGAAACCAGCCTCAGTTTCTTCCATGAAGGCAAAGTGGAAGAACAAAGGAACAAACTCAAGGTTGCCATCGGAAACTTCTGCTNCTTTTTTTTTTTTTTACTAAAAAGCAGTGGAGCTCAAGGATCTTTCATATATGATTAACAAAGTTTATTGTTAGCCAAAATGGGCCCTTGGCTTTTGGATGAGCAGTATTTTTATTCTTCAGCAATTTTGCATATTTTACAAATATTTGCATATTGCGTATTTCTACAAAGTGTAGAAAACCCAAGATTAATCATTGTTTGCATATACCAGACTTTGTAGAAACCAACCTCAGTTTCTTCCATGAAGGCAAAGTGGAAGAACAAAGGAGCAAACTCAAGGTTGCCCTCGGAAACTTCTGCTGTGGGTTTTTGGTGGGGGGGATATGAAAAACACTTTAGAGACACCTTACTAGCTGCATTTCCCACCAGGCGAAGAGCAGGAATAATTGTTCTTGGGATCAGTAGTAGAGAAAGTATACTTTGAATTGAATAAAAGAGAAAAAAAGCTGATAAACATCCTAGTGGGCTGATTTTAACTGGGGCAGGAGAAATCTGGTTTTCCCTCAAGGCTATTTAAATCATCATCTCTCTGCTGACCGTGGCATCTTGCACCGGTCCTGAACTTCAGCTATGTGTCGCCCGGCTTTACAGTATCAAATCAGGGGGGCGGGATCCTCATCTCTGAAGTCTCTCCAGCCATGAGTCACTCACCTGCTAATCCCCTTGTAAACTGTAGCGTAAGAACCTTCACCCAGCTTCTCCAAGTTCAAGTACGATGAGGCTGCCCCAAAAGGGAGGCTCTTCCTCTGCTTAAGGGGAACAGGTAGGGGTGAGAGGTGGGAAGGAAAGAAANAATTTGCCAGAGTGTACTTGGAAGGTCCGCTCAGTAACTGCCCCGGCCGCGGGCCGCCTCCCTAGGCCAGCACCCGGCGCCGCCGCTCACTCACCCACGGAAAGCCCCGCCTCGGATGCTCTTCCTGAAAAGACTCACTGTTGCTCCGCGGCCTTTTACTCTCGACCTTCCGGGCACGGATGGCCTCGAGTCCCCTGGGGTGAAATGAAGTCATGGAACTCGATGCTTCTTTTAGGTCTGTTAGCTGGAAAAAAAGGGGAAGTGCAGGAATAAAATTTATGCAAAGTCAAGACTTAGTAGCTGGCATAAACAATTCTTTCTTTTTTTTTTTGGCCTGATTTTCACTTTTCAAATATTTTCTAAGCTTCTGTACCCCCCAAAGTCACCTTTTCTGGAAATCAGATCACTTAAAAAAACAAAAGCAAAAAAAATTAATGATATCAGTTGTTGAAACACTATATTCTTTCTTCACCTAAAAAAAATGTCTTTAAAATTTAGGTTAACCTAAATTTTTATGATACATAGTTTCCAATTTTTCTGTTTAACTCACACCTTTCTCTCTCTCTCTCTCTCTCTCTCTCACATCCCCTTAACTTATCACTTTAGGGGGATAATTTTCTAGTATGGCACCGCTAATCACCATGAGCTAATGATTGAAATTTTGAATCCATAGCAGAGCAATACTGCAGCTTGCTTTTTAAAGGTTCAGCTCTGTAGTTCAGCCCTGGAGAGATTTCAAGAGAATAACAACCACTCTCTCGGCTTCAAGTCAATTGACTTTCAGGCAGCCCGAAGCATAGGATTCTTTTTTCCTTTTGGTTTACAAGAGAATCCCCAAATTGGATAACAGTAGCCATAAATTCTCCGTGACTTTAATAGAATTTTCTTTTTATTGGTTTAGACCTACCGCAGAACAACCAGACCCTGCTACAGATCCGGGAGCCTCTGCGCTCCTGGGCGTATCGGCCGAGAAAGATGCCGCTGCGGGGGTGCCAGTACCTCGATCGCAGCGGCCTCCGCGGTCACGGGCGCGCTGCTCCCACAGCCGCGCGCATCGCCTGCCTCCCCGCAGCCGTGGCAGCCGCAGCCGGGCCGGACAGCCTTTGCGCACAGTTCTTGACCCATAATCTCCTAGGCTCAGGGAGAAAGCCCGCACTTGAACCTCTCCCTCTCCGCCTCTCCTGTCCCCGCGCACTCCCTTTTTGCCAGAGGTCAGCGGCGCTGGAGCTTTCATATGACTCACATGAGGGCTCTGCTGAAGCAGCCTCATGACTTCAGCAGTTTTTTCTTATCGGTGCAAGAAACTATACATCGGAAAGGCCGCCGCCTGCACGCGTGTGTGCACGCCTAAAAATAGGACGGCTAATATTGTATATAAGGAAACTTGGCACAGTGAAGGCTCATATTCCAGCCACAAGTTAGTCCCACTGGTATACACAGTTTTTATAAATTTATATTGCTTATCCATGTAAATAATAATGGTACTTATTAGCTTCCCTGGTGCTGCAGTGGACACGGTGAGAAATATTTTCTCCCTGCCTTCTTATCTGAGAGCATTTTGCTGTTTAGACTTTAAAATATATTTGTAACCTAACCAATTCTTAGTAGCCAAAGGAAGCACAGAATCATAGAACAGGAAGAAAGCTGAAGATGGGGGCTCCGCCTTCACTCTTCACCTTCAAGCAACAGTGTATCTAATAGTCCCAGAGGGGTGGCCATTCATTCATTAATCCAAAAACTATCTAGTGAGTGCCTGTGTTGTTCTTACTATACAGAGAGTTACCCATAGTGGAGAGAGAGGAGTTTGCATAAAACAGCTCCTTCTTTTCCTCTTTCCCTCCCTCTTCCCCTTTCTTCCTTTCACATAAATGTAATTAATGTTTACTGTATTACTAGAACGGCATGTCAAGGATCTAGCTTAAGCTAGTTTGTAGTCTTTGAACAGGACTTTTTACTTTCATAGACTCCTAAGGTTGGTTATTGCCACTATAATGCACTAATCTGAGTGAGACAGAATGTAGCTACACACACACACTCACTGTCATTAAAGGAAAAGGTAAGGCATGTCTAGTATCACAACAATATTTATGTATATTTGACATATGAGCCCCACAATGGTTTAAAAAACCTTTCAGATAATTTATACGAGCATGTATTAAAGTTTTATTTCAGTATTACCACAAGAGAAAAGACCTAGAACAGGCCAATTGAAAGAGTCACTCTTTCAAACTAGAGACATGTATTTTTTTTTTAAAAGGTGACTACTCACATTAATACAAAAAGATTAAAGAATATTTGGTGAAAGACTATTGAACTTTTGACTGACGATCAACAGAGAGTGATAAAAGCTAGTTTCTCAGAATATTTCATAACTCCATTAAAATTTATCATAGTTAGGTTATATTTTATCAGAAATGCTGATTGCTTCCTGAAAGGAGATGATATTATAGGTTATTAATAATTTTAGGCTAGCTTTTCCCACACTACATTTTTAGAGTCCCTTTTCCTTTCTTAATTGGTGTGTATTCAAACTACAATGTTTAGTTGAGAGTTTCAGGTTTCCAGTCTTTGCACTCTTCTTTTATTTAATGGAGGCTGATTACTAGGAATTATGGTCTAATTATAACCTTTCTAGAATATGTAGGTTTTCACAAGCACTCAACAGATGAGAAGTAATGTGAACTCTGTGTCAGAAACATTCAAAATAATCCATATACATCCATATAAATAAAGTACAGCTGTAAAAAAAAAAAAGGTAGACTTGTAAAAAAAATTGCTTGCAGTGATCATCAAAATATATTGTTAAGTGAAAAAAGTAAAATTCTTTTTTGTACCTTTTGTGGCAAAAAAAAGAGGGGAAATAAAGCGTAGTCAGGTGCTGGCCAGGTGGGTCAGTGGATCGGACCGCTGCCCCATGCCCCAAAAGGTGGCAGGTTCAATTCCCAGTCAGGGCACATACCTAGGTTGGGGGTTTGAACCCAGATTGGGATGAGTTCAGGAAGCAACTGGTCAATGTTTCTCTCTCACATCTCTCTCTAAAATCTATTTTAAAAAAATATCCTCGGGTAAAGAATAAAAAATAAATAAATAAATAAATAAATAAATAAATAAAGTGTAATCAGTAGTTTTACTAATAGTAGCAGTATTACTATTATTATTTTGAAACTCTTATTGGTGTACTTTAGGATTAAACAAGTAATTAGGCTAATGTCATTGGTATGAACTTGTGAGTTTTTTCCTTTAAAAACATGCTCTGTGGTCGGCCCTCAAACTGAAGGGGTCCCGGGTTTGATTACAGGGTATGTACCTCAGTTGTGAGCTCGATCCCCGGCCTGGGTCCAGTGCATCTGAGAGGCAAGCAATCAATGTGTCTCTCTCACATCGATGTTTCTCTCTTTCTCTTCCACTCTCTGAAAAGCAATGGAAAAATATCATTGGGTGAAGATTAAAAAAAAAAAAA